GAGAGAGAGAGAGAGAGAGAGAGAGAGAGAGAGAGAGAGAGCGAGAGAGAGGGGGAGAGAGAGACGCCCGCGCACGCAGACAAACAGACACACACACACACGCAATCACACACACACGCGCGCGCACACACACACACACACACACACACACACACACACACACACACACATGTACAAAATGAAAGCATACCGTATACGGGTACAAACTCCATGTCCAAGTCTCCGCCCAATTGAAGTACACCTGTACCTGTCTCATCTTGATACCCTGCCCAGAAGGTGCCCAGTCTGCGACTGTGTCAGAAGCCAGTGGCCATACAGTGCCGGGATGTCAACTCCAAACAGCTGTACTCCAAGCAAAACCCACACGGCTTGAAGCTTCAGGTCGCGTGCGAAAATAACATGATCAGATGTGTGGACAAACATCAGAAAGGGGGGCCAGCCTGTCCCGACTTTGAAGTGCGCTTCCAGTGTATGGCACCTTGTGAGTATGTGCAGTACAGATTCAATGTTAATGTTTTCCCCTTACAACTCATAGAGCATCATAATACGATAATGAATATTGGGGAAAATTAATACATGAATACCAGGGCTTCATTGACAATCAAAGCATTTTTGCATACATGTTTGAAGAATTGTACCTCATGAAACAACCGTGTATTAGTATTAGTTTTAAAACATGTCATGGCAATAAGAAACTCTCAGTTATTATTTACTCTACAAAATAATAGTATGGTAGGCTTCTGGTTCTAGTAACTAGCAGTCTGTAACAGGAGCCTGGTTTTTTTTTAAATTTCTATTTCCACTTATTGGACATGGCTTACACAATAAAAGTATATTCGAAGAAACTCTTCACCGGCCTACATGACCAAAACATGAAGGAATTAGTAGTAGTAGTATAGGGTTTTACAATGAATGAATTGCAAGAGGAAAAACTTGGTTAGTAAAAAACGAAACGAAATTCGGATTTAACTGCTGTCAAATCTTTGTACAGATACATTATTAAAATGTCTTTTTGTTGCAGATGAACTGCGTTGTTCCAACCCTATGGTTTTAAACCATTGTCGGACGATAAAGCGGGGCTGCCAGGACAAGGTGTACGGCCCCCAGTGTTTGGGAAAACCCACTGCTATACACATACCCGGGGGACTCAGTGGCGGGACGGGAGTAAAACCAGGTATAGCATGTCTGAGTGCTCAACTGAATTTAAGAAAACTAAAACAAAAAACTGGCCCTAACAGACTAACAATTTTGTCCCTGGTCACTGGTCACTGGTCACTGGTCACTCATCCCATAATTCACGAGGAGTGTAGCTACGCTGTATGACAGAGAGCCTCGTCAGGTGCCTCCACTTTTCACGGTTTTCTGCGAGCGCCTGAGTTTGGTGAAGGATTTCTCTGTCCGCTTCTCAATCATACTCAACGTTTTCTGTCCACCTCTTCCTTTGCCTTCCTTTCCTTATCTTCATCTGCACAGTTCCCTGAAGAATGGGCTTGGATAGGCCACACGATCTAATCACACGACCATCCATACCATCTCAGTTTTTTTTCACAGTAGAAAGCAAGTCTTCATAATGACTCAAGTGTTATTTCACTCTATTGCGCACGAATCAAGGAAGGTGTAAGGGTGTGTCTTATTATCTTACAGGAGTAGTAGGTGCTTTTCTTTTATAGCCGGGACATTTTGAAATTTGAATTTTGCCTGGGTGGCGGCTTAACGGCGTACTCTTCTACTTCTAAGATTTTCAACCACCTGGGGACGTTTAACATTTGTAACGTGCGCACAGGATCTCCAACATTTTCTGTTTTATCAGAGAAGACCCTGTGCTCGATCCTCTACCTTAACGCACGCAAAAGGGGGAGGTGGGGTATAGAACGGGTATGGGGTTGGGTATGGTACAAAGGGAGGGGAAACGGGGTGAATGGGTATGGATGTTGGGTGGAGTGTGGGAGGTGGGAAGGGCAGGGTATGAGGGGGGGGGGGATGAGGGACATGGTGTATTTGTTCGGGGTAAAAGGTATATCACCATCTCTTCCTTCTCCCAGTAATTCCACAGACAGAAAAGGACACCACAGAATCATGTGCTTTTACGACTTGTAATACAATACAAGTGTACACATACATGTTACACAGGAACTCGTTTCCACTTTGCGTTAGTGCAGCCCGAGAGCCCGAGACAGTGAAGGGTTGTGGAGAAAGAATGAGATTTAGTCTTCTTTCTCTAAAAAAGAATTTTTCAAAACATTATTTGGGTACAATGCTTTGCCAATTGATGCACGATGTCATAATCAAGCAGAAGAAGGAAATTTTTAAATACAGATTACTTGCATTTCAACCTTCTTTCAACGCTCTGGCTGTTGATATAGATATCAAACGAGGAATTACTTTCTAACAATTATTGAAACTTACAAACAACACATCTCTAAAATTAGGAGATCTTAATGAATTACTTTTAAAGAGTGTTATTGTGAATCCGTATTCACCATGCCATATTAAAACCTAAACGTGTGTGTTATTTTTTTCCCCAGTCACCTGCAAAAAACCGTTTAAGTTGTATGAAGGTCTCTGTCTCTTCGCTCAAAGAGCGGCGGCAAGGTAAAAATTCTAAGAATTATCCAAGAAGAGAATATTTACAGCTGCACTTTACGTGTTGCTTTAAAGTTTTGTACATTTCGATCAGGACAATCAAAGTCAATTCTCACCTCGGTTTGCTTTAACCCTGTCTGTTGTTTGGTAAGTGTTTTACGGCACTCGCAACTGCATGGTCATATGAGCGCGCAGGACACATTAAGTATTTTCAGTTAGGTAGGAACTGATTTTGAATTTTTATCAGGTGACGGCCGAAGCTTACTCTTTTCGATTTTAGGGCCGCCAAGGGCTTTTTAAATGTACTTAACTTGCACACGGGACCTCAGAGTTTTTTCACCCTTCTCCGAGAAGGCTAGGCGTTCAATCTCACCTACACTACGATCAGCGGTGTGACAGATACCGAAAGCCCCCCCCCCCCGGACGCCCTAAATGGTACAAGAGGAAGGATAAACCAAAGATTGCATTTCCACTCGCGACATTGGAAAACAGGTGCTTTTGATTTGAAGATCTCAGTCAAATTTGTTCTTATTATTGTCGTGTCATATCTTCATATTACAATCTGAAGAATGTCTTTTTTAAACCCTCCGTATATTGGCCTTTTAAAAATATTTTTGTGCCAAATTGTTTTTTGTTTTTTTTGGGTGCTAAATCGATAGTCTGATCAGTTACTTTACTTGTGTGTAAAAGTTCAAAGTGAAACTGGGATTAGTTTTTGAATAAGTTGGCATTCAAATTTCTGAAAAACGCATTTTTAACATGGTTAAGCTGACAAAACGCCTCTTTAACTCGAAACTGTTGTGGATAAGAAAAGGGCGCTTTATCAGCCTATGGCAGTGTAGATATCGCATTAACAGCTAAGTTGCTATGAATTTTTTTTCTTTCAGAAGCTACTTTGACGCAGCAACAAGATGTGCCACTTTAGGCGGGAAAATGCTGACCACAGGCTCTCCACTTAGTTTGTTCAATCGACTGAAGACCTTGCGTGTTTTCATTAGTGAGTTTTGAATGCATGGTTTTCAAAAGTGATCCAGGATCAACTTTGAACAATGCAATAACGAGAGACTTTTTATGTCCTTAGTTTTTCTCGGGGTTTCCCCCTTTTCTCTCTTTACGAGTTGTTCTGCCTGTCCGTTTGTCTGTCTGACTGTCCGTCTGTCTGTCTGTCAGTCTGTCTGTCTGTCTGTCTGGCTATAAATGTGGCTACTTGTTAACTAGGAGCACACTGTCCTCCTTATTACAGAGGAAATTTAGCTATGCTTGCACATAATTAAATGCCAAGGATAATTCCCTTTTGGAATCTGATAACCTTTACCCGGTAAAATATTTCCTGAGGCAGGCCTTCAATACAATAACTTCCTAGTTTCCCCATAGCGCAAAAAAGAGGAAGACAATGCTTCTTCTGACACAAAAGAGTTCTTTGTTTTTCAATTGACCAGCAAATTGATTATGTTATGACAATGTCTCAACCAGTTGCAAGCTAAAGCTGAAAGTTGAAAGAGACCTCTTTGAAAAGTTTATATTATGACCAAAACACCTCTTTACATTCTCAGAGAAATCGTTTTTCTTCGGCGGAAGCAGTCTGTTTGACAACGTTCTAGACCTCTCAGAGAGCCAGGATGCCGAGAGCACAGGTTTATGGCACTTGGCAAAAGGCCTGGCTGATCAACTGAAAGTCAGCCATGGTGACATGGTCAAAGCGTTCAGGTAAATACAGCTGAACCTGTTCTAAGAACAAATCGCTTAGTTGTAATTCTTGGTCCCCGCCCTTTTCCCCTTTTAAAACCCTGCAACTGTCACTCTCCTTCGAAGTAACCCCCCCCCCCACCAACCCCATTTCATTATCATCAGCTTTTCTCATCCTATGTCGCAGTATAGGCCATCAACAAGACCTCTCTGTGTAATCTGTCTATAGTCTCCGCCTCTGTCCAGTTGTATCCTATCTCCTTTAATTGGAATCGAAGTTCCTTCTCCAAATACTTTTTGACCTTCCTGTCTTTCTCTTTCCATTGTACTCGTAGGTAGAAGCTTAGTTTACCTACAAGTAAACTGCCAATTACTTTGCAGAGGTGGTATTTGGGGGACAGGGAAGACAGGTGAGTATCACACCAACTGTTTGTGAAAACTGTCAGGTAAAGGTCTCTCGTCCCTTTCACTAAATCGTTTTTTTTTCCGCAGGCGATTCAGTGGACACGCGTCTGATGAAGATCTCAAGATTGCCACACCAACTTCCAAGATGTGCCTGAGTTTTAACTTCTTCAATAACAAGGGCGTTGAGTTCGTCGACTGTGAGAAAAGAATTCCTTTCATTTGTGAAAAAGGTTGGCAGCATCAGTATTGTTTATTGTGTTCTCGTGCTACTCCACCAACCCCCATGGACTCCCCAAATATTCTCTTCATAGCTTGTTCGCGCTTGCCCACGTCCACCAAGATACACAGGAATCTGATACTGATAAAGAGATAACAGTTGAATCGGATTTCAGTCAGTCTTTAGGCACCTGCCATTATCACCGTGATTATCTTCCTCGTTTTCCCCCTTGTACTCCTTCTTATCTTCAATAATATTGGCAATATTACCAGCAGCAGTAACCTCAATAGCAGGAGCATTCTTATAATTATAAAGTAAAAACAAAAGAACTGCAGCAATGTGAGAGCAAACAGAAGATGAAAGTAATGGTAATCTTCTTTTAAAAGAACAAAGAAGAATAGATAAGGATTCTAAGCAATAAATGTAGTGCAAATTTTACGAGGAATTACTCAAAGCAACATGAATAATAATGTCATCGACATGCAATTGGGAGCGCCGTAAAACACGTAACAAAACGAACAAATGTATAAATATGGTCAATTTAACCCCCTGTATCTCACAGTGACAGACTTTGCTGAAGACCATAGTGTCACCTGGAGCCCCTGGATAAATGTCGGCAAAGCAGGATACGGGGATGTGGAATCACTGGGTGTCACAGTAAACACCTACAACAAAGGCACCCTTGTGAGTTGATGTTATCTATCTATCTATCTATCTATCTATCTATCTATCTATCTATCTATCTATCTATCTATCTATCTATCTATCTATCTATCTATCTATCTATCTA